ACCACTGTAGATGAAGCGGCCTGGACGTATACAGTAGCCGGAGTTGGCAGGTTAGTGAACTGGCCCCTGACGAATCTTTTGGCGGCCACCCTTGCCTCCCTTTGGCTTGCGAGAGCACGCCACGACAGGTCCGGCTGTCGAGGTGATAGACGGACCGGCGTTGAAGCTGGTGGTCGGCTGATGGAGGTGCTGCTGACTAGCACCGGTGAGAGGCCCTTGCTGCTGCCCATAAGCGCTGGCAATCAGTTGATATGGAGCCATAGGCTGATGTTGCTGATGTATGTAGCCCCCCAAGGGTTGGTGATGAACTGGCTGTTGCTGCATGTATGGCGCCGAGATTCCGACGAACTGGTGTGGGAACTGCCCCTGGTATACATGCATCTGCGGCTGCTGTACCGATGGCTGATGCACCGGCGTGTACGAGGCTGACGACGCGTAGGATGGCGGTGCTTGAATCGGCTAGTAGACCCCCGGAGCAAAGCCAGGTGCACCTCCCACCGGAGAAGCCATGCGAGCAGCCGGCGGCTGGGCAGCGCGCGGAGAAGGCTAAGCCTGATTGCCGGTAGTACCCCCGGGCGGAGCAGAGGGATCATGTCGCGACATCTCTGGAGACCGGACGCGGCCGCGTACGATCGAGTGAGATTAGGGTTTCCTGCTGGCTGCACCCGTTTCCACAGGTGGCCTAGCCTTTAATCGACACCCTTGATAAAATTGCGGGGGTGAGGCCTCTTTCTGCTACTGTGATTGAGCAAAAGAGCTACCTAAATGAGCAAATTGCCCGCCTTTTACGCGAGGAAGAGATTAAATGATACCAACGTTGCAAGGCCAAGTCGCTTGTTCAAGGTGATGATAATACGAAGTACTTTCAAATGATGGCCAATGACAAACATAGAAAGAAACATATTTTTGCTCTTGACCAAGACGAAGGCCGTATTGAGGGGGATGCACCGCTAAAAAGTTTCATTACTAAGTACTACAAAGAGCTTTTTGGACCTTCACCTCAAAGCCCTTTTGCGCTCGACGAGTCTATTACTCATGATATACCTCAAGTTTTAGAGGCAGAAAATGAGTTTTGAACCTCTCCGTCCTCTGAAGAGGAAGTTCGAGCCGCGGTGTTTCAAACGAACACAACAAGGCTCCGGGACCAGATGGTTTTCTGGCAGAGTTTTATCAATGTTTTTGGGATATGATTAAGGCGGATTTGGTTTAGTGTTTAACCAACTGCATGCTGAAAACCTTGATATTGCCCATTTAAACTTTGGGGAAATTATTCTTCTGCCCAAGACTAAGAAAGCTAGTCGTATTCAACAATATAGACTGATTTGCCTTCTAAATGTCAGCTTTAATATATTCACAAAGGTGGCAACTAATAGGTTGAACGGGGTGGCTGACCACGTGGTCAAACCCACTCAAACAGCGTTTATGCAAGGAAGCAACATACTAGATGGAGTCGTTGTGCTACATGAAACTGTGCATGAGCTCCACCGTAAAAAGTTGAATGGAGTCATCTTCAAAATAGACTTCGAAAAAGCATATGACAAAGTCAAATGGCCCTTTCTTTTGCAAACTTTGCGCATGAAGGGGTTTTCACCAAAATGGTGTCGATGGGTAGAGAGTTTTGTTTCTGGAGGTAGTGTGGCTATCAAAGTCAACGATGATGTTGGCAACTACTTTCAGACTAGGAAGGGGCTTCGCCAAGGGGACCCTGCTTCCCCTATTTCGTTCAACATTGTAGCTGATATGTTAGTTACCCTTGTTGAGCGGGCTAAGGTGGCCGGTCAATTTAGCGGCGTGATTCCTCATCTGGTAGAAGAAGAACTGTATATTCTACAATAGCAGATGACACTATACTTTTTCTAGATCATGACCTAGATAAAGCTAGAAATCTCAAATTACTTTTATGTGCATTTGAGGAGCTCTCTGGTCTCAAAATTAACTTCCATAAGAGTGAGCTTTTCTGCTTCGGCGATGCTGCAGAGTCCGCATCTGAGTATGCTGAGATTTCCAGCTGTCAGCTCGGCCAGTTCCCGATTAGGTATCTAGGTATTCCTATTCACTATCGGCGTTTTACTATCGCCGAGTGGAAGCACGTGGAAGAAAAACTTGAGAAACGCCTAGCCAGCTGGAAGGCCAAACTCTTGTCGTATGGGGGACTGTTGATTCTGACTAATTTCGTCCTCAACAACATGGTTCTATACATGTTGTCATTTTTTCACTTACCTAAAGGGGTTCTACAGCGTCTCGATTATTTTAGATCCAGATTTTTTTGGCAGTGTGATAATGAATCCAAGAAATATCGGCTGGCTAGATGGAGTATATTATGCCGACCTAAAAGTCAAGGGGGCCTTGGAACTCAGGATCTTGAGATTAAAAACATCGCTCTCTTGAGTAAATGGGTATACAAACTACTCACTGAGAATGGAGTATGGCAGGAAATCATTTGTAACAAGTATGTGGGGTCTAAAGCCATTTCTCAAGTTCATTGGGAACCCGGTAATTCACATTTTTGGAGTGGCGTGATGAAGGCCAAGGAATTCTTTTTTCAATTTGGTACTTTCTCTGTTAGAGATGGTTCTCAGGTTCGATTCTGGGAAGACACCTGGCTGGGGGCCACTCCACTTATGGTGCAATACCCTAGCTTGTATAGGATCATCAGACATAAATTAGTCACGATCAAACAAGTATTGGGACAAGAAAACCCTGATATTTCTTTCCGTAGGGACCTTATTGGGCCTCGTCTGGTAGCATGGAATGAATTACTCAATCGTCTGGAGGCCATTTAGCTGTCAGGCGAACCAGACAAGTTCCGATGGAATTTGCATCAGAATGGTACCTTTTCGGTCAAATCCTTGTATGATGCAATGACCCACACTGATGTACCGGTTGATAACAAGAAATTGTGGAAGCTCAAAATTCCCCTAAGAGTGAAGATATTCCTCTGGTTTCTAAACAGAGGGGTCATCTTAACTAGAGATAACTTGGCATGACGCAACTGGCAAGGTAGCAAGACATGTGTCTTTTGCCAACATGACAAATCCAGCAAACACTTATTTTTTGAGTCTAAGTTTACTCGTGTAGTGTGGGCCATAGTTCAAGTAGCTTCAAATCTATATCCATCCCCCATGTAGTGCGCGTAACATGTTCGGCAATTGGTTGCGGGGTATCGATAAACAATTTTCTGCACATCTACTCGTGGGAGCGGCTGCCTTATGTTGGGCACTGTGGCTTAACAGAAATGATGTGATTTTTAATAATAAATGTATTTCATCTCCTGTGCGGGTTATCCATGCGTGTACGCGATGACTCCGTACGTGCAGCCGGGGAGGTTTTCTCCCAACATGGATGGCGGTGTAATCTCCGGATAGGAGTTGCTCCACACTAGGCTGGACTGATTTACTTTTGCTGCAAAACGATATTTATTTTTAGCCTTGTTGGACATGTTGGCTGTATGCATCGCGCTATGCAGAGGCCGGGCATTCTTCAATGCTGTTGTATCATCTTGATATATCAATTAAATGAAATGTTTTTTTTATCAAAAAAAGATATCCGAGAGTGGGGCTGAGCTGACCACAGTGATTTGATGGTCCTGAAAGTAATGCACTAATTTCCGTACAGCCAGAAAGATGTCGTAGACAAGCTTCTGGTAGTTCGGGTACCTCTACTTTGAATCGGTGAGTACCTCACTGAGATAGTATACAGGTCGAAGAAACTGTACTTTGCCTTATTCTCTTTCTATACTGTGAGGACCACGCTAACCACTCGATTTGTCACATCGAGGAAGAGGAGCATAAGCTCCGACTCCATCGGAGAAGCAAGTACTAGTCGCGTTGATAGCAACCGCTTCAAATCGTGAAGTCTTAATGAGCTTCGGGTGTCCAGTCAAAAGAATTTGACTTTTTCGTCAGTCGGTGGAGATGAATAGCTTTCTGCCGGAGTCTGCAAATAAACAGACTGAGTGCTGCCATTCGGTTCCTTTGCCTTCTTCATATTGAGAATCGTGTCAATCTTCCTTGGGTTTGCCTCGATCCCTGGTGCGGACACGAGGAGTCCAAGAAGCATTCCGGCAGGAACTCCGAAGACACACTTGTTCGGGTTCAGTCGGATGTTGTACTTTCTGAGGTCAGCAAACGTCTCATCAAGGCCAGTTAAGAGATCGAATCCCTTAGTCGATTTCACAACGACGTCATCGATGTAAGCCTGAACGTTGCGAGGAATCTGTGTGTGCAAGCAGATCTGTATATCCGCCGGTTAATTCACAATTAAAAATGCTTATAAGCTAGCCGATATGATCAAGAGGAGGACTGCCGCTGCTGCTGCATCCTCAACGGGGAATGACGCGGCCGGGCAATAGACCTATTTGGGACATCATTTTTGGATGGCGTGTAGCTACTCAGGCCCTTGTGCTTCTAAACAGAATGCATTAAGTTTTCGCAAAAAAAAAAAAACAGAATGCATTAAGAAGCAGAAGAACAATTGCCAGTGCCACTGATGGAGTTTTTGAGTTATATATGTGGAAACACATCCCTGAACCGAGCGAGCAAAATGGCTGGAAGAGTTGGGCAGTGGGCTGCTCCGGCGCAGGGCTGGCTGAAAATCAACTCTGACGCCTCCTACATCCAAGCAACAGGGGATAGCTAGGGATGCTCAAGGGCTTGTCTTCCAATCAGTTTGCCGAGACACTGGTAGACGAAGCTGAAACGGCGGCTGCTCTGAAGAACATACATAACATAGAAAAACATATATGCATCATACAACTATTTCCGCCTGAAAATGAGAATATTTCACTTTTAATAAGCCACAGACAAAGCGGTCCTGAGGTAAAACAACACCCGTAATCATCAGACAAAAGGTTTAATTCTCAAGGTAACTTAATATTCAAATACTGGCCCGTGACTTAGTTTGCATCGACAGAGACTAGTGAAAACATGCAGTGTGCAAGTATCATCACATTCTCTCATTCAAATGTGAAAAATCACATTGTAATCTAGTAAAGCACACCCTTATTTTCCGGGTGGAAGAGTTGGGCAGTGATTCTGGCAATCCCCTATGGATTTAAAGCAAGGTGTTCCCTGCGCATTGAAACAGCAAAAGCATCGAGGGGCGAATAGCGACGGTTCATGCTTGGTCTTACAATCCCTTGCGACACACCATTTCAAGGCAAGTTTGCTCTGGAACACCATAGTCGTGTTGCTATGGCCATCTTCATAGGTGCTCTTGGGCTCAGGACGACCTGTTACATACAAGATATTATATGGCAAGTGCCTTATGTGCACGGAGGAACTATACTTTTGAAAGATAGTGGATTGGCTGCAAGGATATAAACAATATGATTGTGAAGATGCGCTTACATTGTCCAACCATGAGTAGGCACCCGATGAACACAAGAGCAACTGTGAACACCATGCTGCCCACCTTCATTGTTTCAACGAGACGGCGAGACAATTAGAAACCTGAGGCAATGGCCACAACACCCTCTTGTCTCAGTATATATAGAGGTTACAGTCCAAAATAACTACGAGTGCACGCTAATTGATTGATGAAAGGATGCATCAAAGTTATGGTACGTTCTACATAGTGAGTTACTCCTGGTTAGGAATGATATGCCATTGAGAATATTAGTTACCATATAGACACATCAAGGTTGAGTTATTCGTGTGCGCATATGCATTATGGGAGATAGCGCTCCTGGTTTAATCAGCAGGTTTTACATATTTGGTGATCAACTAGTCTAGCGGATTTGATACCACGTGGTATATGTGTAGTAAGCAACCTGAAAATAAGGGTAATGAAAGGAAGGTGAAATAAGATGCGGATGCTAACGCAACTTGAGCGTGTCCTGGAGTAGCTGTTAGCCTGCCAGACACCTATGGAGATCCTTGAACACGTGCTCAAACTGCCCGAAAAACTGAAAACTATGGTACAAAATGTCAATATGTGTGCTCTGGAAATGGTGGGAAGAGAGGAACCGAGCAAACCACGGATACAGGCGCTTACTGTCAGACGAGTTTATAACTATATCAGGTTGTCCAAAATATTCAGGAGCAGGGGCAATTCTGCACCACAACCAAAGCAGCCGAAGGAGCAAGTAAACGAATGAAAGCGCCACATGAAGATTTTGAAATGATCAGTTTTGACGGGGCATACTCGGCACAGAACGGTACCGGAGACTGGGGCTGTATTGCACGCGCTTCGCTGCTGCGGGAAGAAAAGACAATCTCACTAACGCTTTGTTTAGAACTTTGGATGTCCATATTGGAGAGCTCCGTATTTGAATTGGACTGGAATTCCAGTTCAGTGAAGAAAGTGAAATGGCACAAAAACGAATTCGCCTGTTTGGTTGTTTATTGGCTCCATATATGTCGTCATTAATCAGCTATACAAAAGAAGACCACCACAGCCACCTACACAAAAGAAGACCACCGCAGCTACCCAGCAAACATATCATCAGCTAGTCTTTGCCTAAAGTTGGACCATTCAGTAGTGACTTGGACACTTCTGATGATGTTGTCACCATTTGGATCATTATTTAGCGCAGCTACTAATTCACTATCCACTTCAGGCAATAACAAATCATCGATGACATGCTGCCTATCCCTTGCAAAGTTGTGCAACACACAACAAGCTTTAATAATACAGATCTGCCTAGGCCCCCTATCCCTCTGTGTAACAACATATGCTAATTGATGCAAGATCACATGTTTCAACAAACAATTTTGTCAACACAAATCCTTTTCCTCTTCCTTCTTTTATTTTCCTCATTTATCCACTCAACCAAATGAAATTGACCAGACATAGGCTATACATTGCAGTTATCTAGATAGTTGTAAGGCGTCACATACAAATGCATAGCAAAACCAAGGGGATTTCGGCCATATACCTTCAATCAGCCCGCAGATCGATGAAACCTCGCTAATCTGCACAATACACAGAGAGAGAAAATTAGCATTCGTTGGAAAAAATATAAGAATTAGGGTTAAGAGGGGATGATGCAGCTAAGCTACTAAGTATGGGATGACGTGGCTTCTAACAGAGAACGTCAGGCATGGGGCGGAGGTGGCACGCGCACTAAACAGATGGGGAGGGTGAGCGGCGGAGGTGGGTGGGGACGTTGCCGTGACGGAGCTTTCGCGGGCGGGAGGAGGACGAAGCTTTGCCGGGCGGGTTCGTCGGTGGTCGGATGTGAGGACAAAGATGGGGGGTGGGGCACGGCGGAGGTGAATGGGGACGGGAGGGAGAGCGCGAGATGGATCTGACCTGCGCCGTCGGGAGAGGGAGGAGCTCAGCCGCGCCGCCGCCGCCGCCGACGACGATGGCCTGGGACGGTGCTCTGTCCTCTCGTGAGTTCCGGCTGGTGGAGTGGGGAAAGTGAGGAGCAGAAGAGGAAAGTTTTGCGGGAGGGCGCCAATTAATTTAATCATCTGTTGAGTTGCCCGATTTGAAATCGGCTTTGACCAGGTCACGCGGTGCGCTGGGGCCAACTGATTTCGTGGTGAGGCCCATCGGTCAGATCTCAGATGAACAGGAGCCTACGGTTCCTCTCACTTCCCTCCTCGAGCTGCTGATTTGCATCAACCACTAGATCCTCGAGCCTAGCTTCGTCGTCCATCTCCATCTCTAGACGATGTGCTCCATCTCAGGTGTACTCTCCCTGCTGCTGAAGCTAATTTCACTTCCACCTGATGGTGTTGTTGCTGTGAACATCGCGCCGGTACTCGTCTTCACGGCATATAGATGAATTGTTCCCCTACTCAACTTTTAGGCTAGCATCAGCTCCCTTGAATGCCGTGTAAACTTGTCAAGATCCAATAGCTCATTGTTACCACGCATAGATGATGTTTCCTCTTTTTTTTTCGAACAGATAGATAATGCTTCTTAACAGCAATGAAAAAAGGGTAACAATTATTCACATAAATCTAATGAACAATGAAAAAAGGGTTAACATGATCTTCGCAAAAGTCAGCCTGCGAATGAGCAGCACCATGCCTGGAGGTGGACTCCAGCAATGTCTATTGAAACATTGATGCCCCGCTTCTTCTTTGCACACGTCGGGCCAAATTTGCATCCAGGGAGTGAAAAGCCATATCAGAAACCTCGTGACGTATAGTCAAGGAAAGAGGCGATGGGCGTGATTAGCGGACGACCTAGTGGGGCGACAGAGAGGCGATGGGCGACGGTGGGATCGGTTGAGGCCGTAGTCTGTGATCGTGATACTGACAGCGAGGGAAAGATCATCCGCCGCGGTTGGAGCCAGGGTGGAAGAGAAGATCTGTTGGGGGCAAGCGTTGCATGGACCAGAATCCGGGGGTTGATACGGGTTTGGGCGATGTAAGTGCATCTAGTGCCCCTTAGTGATTTTGGTGTATTGAAGACTTATAGGTTAAGAGACTGAAGCGTTTGTGAATGTACACAGGTCTATAAGTCTATAAGGAGTTTGATATTTACAGAGAAAGTCGACCCCTAAAAATGAAGTTCTTCGACTGAAGACTTTGGATTTTTGAAGACTTTCTGAAGACTTTGAAAGTGAAGAAATTGGTGTGACCTTGAAGACTTGGTATTCATTCGAGGAACATGAAGCGCGAAGACTTTTGTTTTCATAGTTTCATTTTCTCCTTCTTGAGTCATAGGAAACATCGTAATGTTAAAGGGGTCGAGGAAATACTAAAGAAAAATTTCCATGTGATGCTCAACTCAAATCCTACACCTACCAATCCCTTCGAGTGAAGCCATTGGAAATCTCATACTGTTCAGCCATATTCTTCAGTGACAGAGACGAAATTCTTCTGGTCTCTGAGGAATTTGTTCTGACTGAAGAGTTAGGAATTCGCCAGTGCAGATTGCCTACCAAGTGAGGAACATGATAGCCCTGAGGAATTCGAATCTCAAATATTCCAACCGTTGCTGTGCTACGTGCCAGCAGTCCCTAAATATCTATCCACCTAACGGTCATATCAGACAAGGGCATTTATGTCTTATCATGTCGGGCTGCTCCCTAGGCTATAAATAGCCGTCCCCTTCAACCACTAGCTGGTTGGCTGCTCCGAGAGAAACTGACACTTGTCAGTTGAGAGCAACTCATCCTCCAAGGACTTTGAGTGAAAATCATCAAGTGAGGAAATCCCAAACCCGAACCTACAAAACCCCAAGTGATTGAGCATCACTGAAGAGATTGATCCTGCGTGGATCCGACGCTTGTTTCCTTTGAAGACTGTGCTTCTTCCAGACAGTTAGGCGTCAAGGTCTAAAGCATCCAAGAGGAATTGTGGATCGCCGAGTGACCGAGTTTGTGAAGGTTCGGAAGTCACCTGAAGACTTACCATGAGTGATTGGGCAAAGTCTGTGTGACTTTAGCTTAAGGAGAATACGGTGAGGACTGTGTGTCCGGGACTAGGTGTCCTCGAGTTTAAATACTCAGCCGCTCCAACCAGATGTACAACTGAGACAGCAGTTGGAACTGGTCTACCAAATCATTGTCTTCACCGAGCTTACTGGTTCTATTTCCTCAACTCTTTAAATTCCTCATGTATGTTGTTGTGTGCCTGTTCATATCTGTTTGAAGACTTAGACTGAAGACTTTCTCAATTTCCTCAGTTCTATTTCTTCAGTTTGATCGTCTTCTTCCTTGTGTTATCCTGTGTTTACGCTTTCTGTACTCTGTGCTTGTCTTCATTTCATCATGATGACTATGTGTGTGTTCTGTTATGTTCCCTTCTGAGTACTTATTCTGCTGCAAGTAGTTCTTCATTTAGGAATTTCCTCACCAGCAAATTCCTCAGTGAAGAATTCACAAAAATCGCCTATTCACCCCCCCTAGTCGATATAACGCACTTTCAATTGGTATCAGAGCAAGGTACTCCCTTGTTCTATGTGATTTTGGTTTAACCACCTGGAGTTCTAGTTATGCTGACCGCAGGTATGATCAAGGTCTCTGCTAGGTGTCCTACCTTCGATGGCACGGACTACCCCTACTGGAAGAATAAGATGCGAATGCATGTTGAAGCAATTGACAACGGTCTCTGGTACGTTGTGGAAAATGGTGTTCCCTCAGTCACACCTTCTCTGAATGCTGCTAATGTAAAGAGATTCAAGCAACTCGATTCTCAAGCGAAGAATATCATATGTGGCCATCTGAGTAAAGGGCAGTATGGTAGAGTGAGTGCTTTGGGAACTGCTAAACTCATCTGGGATAGGCTCTCCAAAGTAAACGAAGGAGTCTCAACTCAACGTGACTCTCGTGTTGACGTTCTTCGCAATCTCTTCAACCGCTTCAAAAGACTCGACAATGAAAATGTTCAGCAAACCTTCGATCGCCTCACTGATATCTCAAATGAGCTTCAAGTGCTTGGCGCCACTGACATCACCGATCATGAGGTGGTGAAGAAATTGCTGAGATCACTCGATTCTTCATTTGACACTCTGGC